AAAAAAAAAAAAAAGTTAAAAAAAAGTCGCGCGTAGTGGCACACACTTGTAATCCCAGCACTTGGGAGGCTGAGGCAGGAGGATCGCTGTGAGTTCGAGACCAGCCTGAGCTACATAGTGAGTTTTGAGCTCCAGGTCAGTCTCAACTACATAGTGAGATCCTGTCTCAAAAACAAACAAACAAAAATACTATAAACTTATTTAATTACTGTACTATATATGTGTGCTTCACATAAGAAAAGATTTATAAAAGTTATTTAAGCTATATTGGAAGTCATTTTAATAATCTCCAGGATATTTAAAGTAGTAATAGGGTCAAAGAAAAAACACCTTTATCAAAATCTGGTCCTATGTGCCTCGATTTACCAAATACCTGACTTTTCTGGAGGATATTACTATAATTCACAATGTTAGAACACATGAGCAAAATTAGTTTCAAGATTAACTATGATTCTTTTGTACATTTTAGTTTCAAGATTTGCTCTTTAATCTATTACCTAAAAAATTAAAATAGGTGTACTGTAAAAGCATTGGTGAATAGTACTCATTAAATTAATTATGGCACCTGTGTACCATCTTTCACCTTTTCAAAAATTTTTAATAGTTGTATATAATTGTCATTTTACTCTTTCATTTCTTATGGTGTAATTTACTGTAATTTAAAAAGATTTTTCAATGATTTGGATCCTGAATTTGTCTGTGTATTTCATTTGTTTAGAAAGATTCTTTTGGGTTTGGGAATGAGATTTGTATATTTAAATTTTTTATGGATATAATACAAAGGAATGTATAAAATAGTATTTTTTTGGTTTTGAATTGATATATTTCTCTTGTTGTTTTTGACATCCATTACCTATTTAATAGATTATTTTTAAAGATTATTTAAAAATACTTCTGTATAGATTTTTCTTATATTTCCTTGTTTACCTTTTTATTTGTATCTATGGCATAATCAATGAATTAATCTCTTCTTTTTATATCAAAATGGATTTCTGGTCTTATTTAACATTTTCTCATATTTGATTGTCATTTTCTCTAGCCTGTGCTCTAGCATGAAAAACTGGGTTTTATTTAAACTAGTTAGAATTTGTCTCTCTGTATGATGATAACAGCCCAAACATTTTATTTTAAATAAAATATTTATTTGCTAGATAAGAAAAAATAATCAGTATGGAGATCCCTCAAAGAACTAGGATTGGAAATCCCATTTGACCCAGCTATTCCCCACAAGTTTCTTTTTACTGTCAAAAGGGTCCACAGCACAAAAAAAGGTAATATGCCCCTGAGAAAGTTTTTAATACCCTTATCAGCTTTTGCAGTCTGCAAATCTGTGATGAACACTTGTGAAAGTTCTCAGGAAATATAATCTGATTTTCCCAGAGAAGAAAGGTTGACAAAATTGAATATCGATGATAAGAAAATAAACTTGCCTAAAAATCACTTTTGTGTGCCTTCATTTGAGCCTACCTAGACTCTAAGTGCTAAAGGGCTCCTTATTCTCCAGATGTGCTATATCTCCTCCCTGTATCTCAATTTCCCTGTTTCTTTTTTTAATGGTATGGCGGATCGAACTCAGGCCCTTGCACTTGTGAGGCAGGCGGTGGGACCACTGATCTAAATCCCAGGCCCTCAATTTCCCTATTTCTTTAATGGAGGTGATAGTAGTATCTTACAGGGTTGATGTTATCATTAAACTGTCTGATGTAATGTAGGGCACTGCCTGGCACATAAGAAGATCATAAAAAGTTCAGCTATTATACTGGAGTTATCAATTTCCTATTTGGCCCTATACTGTACAAATAAATCTTTAAACATATTAGTCAGTAAACCGTTGATTGCATATGTTCCTATTTTGAATATAGAATCTTCTTAAAACAGATGTTACATTTTGCAAATGTTTGATAAACCCATCCCTTAAAATGTGTTCCATCTTTTGGCTTGCCTGGACCACAATGAATAAAAAGGAACTGTCTTGGGCTTCATATAATATATAATATAGTTAATGTGTATAAGTAGCGAAACTATTTTAACTTTTTAAACATTATTTTACAAAATAACAGGAATTCAAGTTTAATAACTAAATAAGAAAATACACACATCTGCTTAAATAACAATAAATGCCTGCCTGTCTTCACAGATACACGTGGGAAAGTAGATTGAAATATTACTGATAACCACTTTTACCCTCCAAGCCACCACAGTGCATGCAACGTCTGATAGTTACATGCAGGCTTGGATTCTACTGATTGTGTGTGGAGGACATGGGGAACAGTTAGAGCTGCACTGCACCCTCCCCTACACAGTGTCTTGTTCTCACCTCTGCACCCTACACTGGAGCACCACACGAGTCAGGAAAAGTAGCACTAAAAATCACGTAATAGCATTAAAAGTTTATCACCTTGTGGAGCCAAATTACTGCATAGCTGTCCAGGGCTGCATCAGTCCAGGTGCCATGGGTTGGATATATCTGATTTACACTTGATCTTGGCCAAAAGGACGAGAAGCTATGGACATGCCTGATTGAAAAGGTCACCTAAGGTCAGGTGTGGTGGCAAATGCCTGTAATCCCAGCACTTAGGAGGCAGAGACAGGAGGATCACTGTGAGTTCAAAGCCAGCCTGGGATACATAGTGAGACTCTGCCCCCGCCCAAAAGAAGCAGTCACTGAATGGGTAAAAGTACAAGACCTGAAGCCAGAAAGCAGTGGGTTGGAGTCAGGACTCCACTACTTACTCATTGTGACCCAAGAGCTTCTTAAACTTTCCAATCTCATATCATCCCTTGGAATCCTAGCACCTGTATCATAAGGTTGCTGTGAGGAATAAATGAGATAATATATGTAAGGGACTGGCACATAAAAAGGACTCAGTAAATTATACCTCTTCCTTTTCTTAATAATTAGGGAATGCAAGACAATTTAGGGAAATGGGGAGAATCTGTAATGTTTTACACTTGTTGCCTGAAGATCTGGGTCCCGAGTCTTGGAAAGAGAGGCTGGAAAGGCCTCAATTCTAACTATTCTATCTCTTACATTTTGTTCTCCTTCAGTACAAAACCGTTTTGTAACCCATAACAGCTCCCTCAACTCTCACCCCAGGCCTCTGTCTACTAGGATATCTACAGAGAATTCCTGACTTGTGATGGCTCAGCATAATTTTTTTTTTTTTTACTTTATGATGGGACAAGAGCAACATGTATTCAGTAGAACCCATACTTCAAATTTTGAATTTGAATCTTTTCTTGGGCTAGTAATGTGTCGCTGAGTACACTCTTGTGATGTTGGGCAGCTCCAGTGAACCACAAGACTAGGAGGGTAAACGACTGATACTCAACAGTATAGTGCCGTGATGGAGAACCTTTCAGAGCTTTCAATGAGAACAAACAACCTGCTGCAGCATGCATGCCATAGATGTGCCACTACTGTGGTGTAGTGTGCTGCTGCTAAGCTATGAGTATCAGTAAGTTAAATGCAGTAAATACATTGATTTTTGATATGTATTTTCAAGTTACGGTGGGTTCATGAGCTGTACCCCCACTGTAAGTCAGTAAGGAGCCTCTGTAGATTCCCTTCCCCTCTTCCAGAGCAAACCCTCCTCCGCACCTTTCACAGCATGTGCTGACCCACCCCCCCAGCCCTCCCCCCAACCACACACACCGGGCCTCTGTCATCACTTACCACTCGTACTGTTTTGTCTGTCTATGCATCCTTTTTTCCAACTTAAACCATGAGTTCTTTGGGGTCTTGGGTCAAGTCTCATTTATCTCCGAATCCTCACTAACACTGTACCTGGCACAGGACAAATGCATAGTAAAGGGGCTGTCAAATGACCATCTGAGGAGGTGCTCTTTCCATCCCCTTTCTGCTCCACCCAGAAAGCCAGTGGCTCTGTCTAGCTCTCTCAATTTATGCAAGAACATTTTGATGCTTGGGGTCTCTCCATCCAACACAATATATTCAGCAAAGCAAAGCTTCAGAGAGCCAGGGTGGCCCTGCCTGGGTAGCTTTCCTTCACAGAGGTGTGCAGTATGTTAATACAAGCTGAACTTGTATGCAAACACATGATAGTTCTCTGAACTCTGTCTCTGAACTAGCTAGATTTTTCTATACCTCAATTATATTTGCTGTAGATCAGTCTGGATATGGTATGCAAAACAGTATTGAATTATTAATAATACTGCTTGAGAGCAAGGACTACAGCAATGGAAATGTCAAGGGGACAGAATCTTGAGTTTAATGGTGCCAAATGCCAAGAAGAAAATACTTCCACCAGGGCCTCATCCCAAGGTCACACACAAAAATAAGAGGATCCAGGCAAATACAGAAGCGAAAAGCCTAGCAGTTCCCCCAAAATACAACTGAAATAAACATTTATGGATCTAATATATTTTGTTATAAAATAATTACAAACAAGAGGAAAAACTTAAACACTAATTAGAAAACTGAGTAGGCTATAAGTCTACACAAGGCAAATGGAATTTTATATTTTACTCAAGAACATTTTTAAAGACTTTTTTAAAAAAAAGAAACAGGGAGAAAATAATACATCTAAAGGGACTGGCTTTTCTGAGACAGGGTCTCACTCTGTAGTTGAGACTGACCTGGAACTATGTAGCCCAGGCTGGTCTCAAACTCACAGCGATCCTCCTGCCTTAGCCTCCTGAGTGCTGGGGTTACAGGCATGTGCCACCACGCCTGGCCACCAGTATCATTTTCAACCCTGATCTCGGGATCCTGTCTGGAGCCCGAGCTACAGCTTGGTTTTGGTTTTCTGGTCACTAGCAGTGTACTTACTGCCCTCCGGGTTTCCCAAATTTAGGGGGACAACACCTAGAGGGCCCTGAGAGCAGGACTCAGTCTGCCAGCTTTTGTTTGTCTGTCATTGGTCTGGCTTGTAGCACCTGGAGAGATTTTCCTTTTTTTTTTTTTTTTTTGCTTTTCTCAAATACTATTTTTTCAAACAAAACATTTATCGGTACATTTTAGATACGCATAACGATAACACTCATCATAGAGAATTTTCTCCTGTACACGATATGTCCTGCCTCTTCTTTTTTAAAATCTAGGAAATCCAATCTGCAGGGATTTGGGCAAGCTGAGTTCCACTAGTAAGAGAGCTGCTCTGTTTCTAACGTCCCGCCTACAGCTTGACAATAGGGCTTTATTCTGGCACTGCGCTGCCTCTTCTAAGAACCGTCGCACCGTGGATTCCAACAGGAGGCACCTCTAGTGTCTCCCAACGCTGGAACTCTTTGACTCGAGCGCGGACCCTTTTCTTGTCTCGGGCACAAGATGGCAGTATATAGTACCGTATTTCAAAAGCTGAGGACCCGGCACTAAAGCGACTGGAAGGGGGGAGCTCTCCAATTGAAATCTATTTGTTTTATATGAGAAGTGAACACTATAAGTCTTTTTCATTTTTCCAGGAGCCAACAACTATTGAATCTTACACACTCCGTGTATTCCAAGTCTCCAAGTCCGAGACACCCCAAAAGCCTACCACTTCGTCCGCGCAACACAGCCACACCTCCCACCAACCTGGAAAAAGCGCCACCGCACCACACTCCCCCGGGCCGCTCGTGCGCCCTGTCACTTCACCTCTGCTCGAGACTCCGGCTCACGGATCCCTCCGCCAGAGGGTTCGCGAAGCGTCTCTCCCTGGCCCGGCGCGCGGGCTGGTGAACAGTTTCTGCACGGGGAGAGAGGAGAGGCTGCAGATCACCTAAAGTGCCAGGTAGCGGTCTGAAGGAGGGAGGACACGTTTAGAAAAGTAGGGAAAGAGAAGCGAGGGGAAAGAGGGCGTGCCGAGGTGAAAGAAGTAAAAGGGGGACAGAAAACGAGGGCACGGAGAGGGGCGAAAGAATCCGAGAGAAAGAGGAAAGCGGAGAAAGGCAGTGCCGAGAGAGAGAAAAGGCGGAGAAAAAGAAATAAAGAGGGAACGGAGGAAATAGAGGAAATGAGCAAAGGGTAAAAGGGAAAAAGGAAACAAATAGTGGCAAAGTAGAAGCGCGGAGAAGGAAGGGGCAGAGCCGAGCGAAGCCTGCCGGGGAGCGAGCGTTCCGGGAAAACGGGAGAGGATCCCTCAACTGGGATTCGGGGAAGAGGGGGAGAGGGCAGGTGGGGCAAAGGAGCCAAGGAAAAGTGAATTAAAGAGAAAGGGACAGAAACTGAGGACTTTGAGCGTACTTCTGTGAGTTTTGCTGGAGGCATTTATTGGGTATTCCTGCTGTTTGCCGTGCGCTCAAACTGCCGAGGAGACCGCTCTTCGCGGCTCCCGACGTGGGTTTTAAGGGGGCAGAGGTTTAAAGCCTCTGCGCGC